ACAACGACCGACTCTTCTGTGTCTGCTTCATTCATGAGCATCGTCGAGGCCTAAAGTCATCCATCCGTGGCATGTGTGTGGAGCTTTCATCTCTTGTGAGGCGCTGTGTCAGTATTCACTGGCGCTCGCGACAGCAGACCACATTGTGTCTTGATGAACGTCTAAGTCGTTTCCACCTTTTCGGCGATTGTGGCTGTCGCCTGCTTATTAAAATCTACAGATGGCCTCCAGGGCTTGGGAAATCCCAGCCCGTGGGTGAAATCCACCCATCTCTGTATAGTCAAAGGAGCAGTGGCACTTTGGTGGGAATCGGAGACCCGGCTGTGGTGGCCTCCTCTGTCCCTGTGCCCAACCCTTTTCCCAAAGCCTGCCTCCCTGGCCAACCAATGGCCAATGCCTTGCCATTGTCCAAGGCCTGAGCTGGTTGTGTTAGCGGCCACCAGACATATCGGGGTGCCCTCTCTTGGCAGCTGCCAGGTGCCAAGTGGTGGACTCTCCTTCTGGGAGTTGGTGGCTGAACGAGTTGTCTCGTCTCTGGCCCACTGCTCAAGGTGAGAGCCAGGGTCTCTGGGGAGAAAGGAGCTCTGGGGTCTGGTTGTCACTGGGTCAGCCCAGCGGCCACCCCTGACCCCCTCACCCAGCCTGCCTGGACCTCCAGGCTACACCCCCCGGACAGGGCACTCTCTGTCGGCAGAATGCCTCCAGCAGCTGGGAGCAGAGCGTGCCTGCCAGCCTGGATGGCCCATCCCAAGCCAACAGGGCACAGCACCCCAGAAATTTCCTCTCTTGTTTTATAAGTACCTTCGTAATAGCCTCGATTTTACCTCTTGGCCCTCAGAGCCAAACACACTTTTTATCTGGCCCTTTGCAGAAAAAGTTTGCAGCCAAACTTGTCCCCGAGCTCAGGGTAGATGCCAAGTGGCCTTCACCCGGGGCCTCTGCTGGGCTGGGGGCCCTTGTAATTTTGCCCCCTCTGCCCCAGGCCTCTTGGGCCTGTGTGCTTCTCCTTCCTGCTGCCGAGAACAGTCTTTCCCGGATCTCCCAAAGCTGCCTCTTCCTTGTCATCTGTTTTTCTCTCTGTCTTTTTAAAATTCATTTTTTTATTTTTAGAGAGGGTCTTGCTCTGTCACCCAGGCTGGAGTACAGCAGTGCAATCATAGCACACTGCAGCCTCCAACTCCTGGGCTCAAGCGATCCTCCTGCCTCAGCCTCCCGAGTAGCTGGGACTACAGGCACATGCCATCACACCTGGCTAAATTCTTGAAATTTTTTTCTTAAGAC